ACAAAAAAAGAAAAGAAGACAGAGGAGAGAGAGAGGGGGGAGAGAGAGGAAGAGAGAGAGGAAGAGAAAGAGAGAGAGAGAGAGAGAGAGAGAGAGAGAATTAGAGGTTGCTGCTTGCTTTGGAGCGTTTTCATTCTTGTAGCCAAGTGTTTACAGTCATTAGAAGGGGTAAACTTTGTTCAAACGGTGTTTGAGGGTGTTTTAACAAGGTGTTTGTCCTTCAGTTTATTGCATGGATAACTTAGTGTTTATTAGTTCTTATCTTCCTTGATAATACACAGTATTGTTTGGATTATTTCCATTGTTTCTAACTAGATGTTGAAAGTGATCTTGTCACTTAATTTTGCTACGTGTCTTATTCTTAAGATTTTTTTTTTTTTGGTGGATCTTTCACTTATTAGTAAAGTTTCCAGTATGTTTCATGAAACTATTGTAATTTGATGTCTCACTAACATTCTTGTGGCTGCAGGTGAGGGCCACTTTGGAGAAAGTGAGGAAGCGGATGTATGGAGACTATGATGAGATGAGGCAGAAGATTCGCCAGCTCACCCAGGACCTGTCGGTAAGTCCACCTGCCGGGAAATCCATGCCTTGGCTCGGTGGCTGTGAAAGGGTGGCAAGGCTTGGGACTTATGCCCAGCGATGTTTAAATAGCTCATGCTTCTTATGAATGGAGTCATACTTTACATGATTGAACTTTATTATCCAAAAGAGAATGTCTAATAATCTTCCTTGTGTGTACAAGGTACACACTCTTCACTGCTGAGCCACCTCTCCAGCCCCTACCCAGATCAGTTCTCGGTAATGGCCCACTTTAATTTTTTTCTTTTTTTCTTTTTTTTTTTTTTTTTACTTTTTTGAAAAATGAAGTCTTGTGTAGTCCAGGATGGGCTCAATCTCGAATGAATTTGAAATCCTCATTGTTTCCACCTCCCCTGTGAAGAGATTATAAACCATCATGCCTGGTTTATAGGGTGATGAGGATCAAACCCTTGGCCTTGTACATGCTCTATCATCCAAGCCTCAGTTCCAGCCCTCACGTTCCATTCCTAAGAATTTATTCTACAGATAAGCTCCCCCAGGTGCAAAATGACATGTGGATGAACTAATTATTTTTAGCATCACTTGTAACAGTTTAAAAATGCAAATTGAATACACACCAAGATAAAGGAAGTATGCACTCTCTTTCCTAGCCAGCTCTTTACCGACTAAGCTAGCTCCCTGGCTGCAGGGATTGGTTTGTAGTCTATAGTTTTACCGTAAATATTACTGAAGCAGATGTGCCTGCTCTCAGAAAATTTCCCCATCCCTGGAATCTATGGGGTGTAGGTTGGTCTTGGGTGACTGTCTTTTTCTCTCCAGGTTTCTCAAGCTCAGAAGGACTACCTAGACAGTCACATCCAAGCACAGTCATCAGCCCTGGATAGCTTCAATGCCATGAACTCAGCATTGGCGTCTGACTCTGTTGGCCTGCAGGTAACCATCTGCTTCCCCTTAGCTGGGAACCTTCTTTTTATAGGGCTGTGAGCTTAAACAGGAGTGGGGCCTATTTGCAGAAAAGGCACAGAATGTCCCATGGTCAGCTATGGTCCTTTAAGCACAGGCCTGGTAAACACAGTTTTAGAAGGTAGGGAAGAAGTCAGAGGAAATGCTTCCAACAGAAGTGCTAAGCCTCTCTCTGTCTGGCACCTGTGTCAATGGAGTTTTAGACTTAGTTCTGGGATGGAGATGTCTCCTGCTTTGTTCTGGGATGGAGATGTCTCCTGCTTTCTAGGTACCTAAGTGGTCCCCTGTGTTTACACAGCACATCAACTACCTTCTTCTTGTAGCTCTGGTGGTTCAGAAAGTCCCACTTGGTGACAGAAAAGACAAAATGCAGCCTGTCATGGGAATTAGCTCTCCCAGGAAGCACCTAGCACTTTTTCTTTAAGGTTTAAGGATGATTTTATGTTGGAAAGAGTCATGTGTGTTCCAGAGAATGAACACTTTCTTCTTCTTCTTCTTCTTCTTCTTCTTCTTCTTCTTCTTCTTCTCCTTCTCCTTCTCCTTCTCCTTCCCCTTCCCCTTCCCCTTCTCCTTCCTCCTCCTCCTCCTCCTTCTTTTCTTTTGTTTTGGTTTTTTGAGACAGGGTTTCACTGTGGCTTTGGAGCCTATTCTGGCACTTGCTCGGTAGACCAGGCTGGCCTTGAACTGTAGATCCAACTGCCTCTGTCTCCAAGTGTTGGGATTAAAGGCGTGCGCCACCAAAGCCCAGCAAAGAGTTTAATAGACCGACATTCTTAATTAAGACCCACCACCAGAGATTGGCTCTGAGCTACACATTAAAGGGCTTTCATTTTTTACCCTTCCAACTGAGATGTTTCCTGCCTAGCATGCAAGTTCATCTGAAGATGTTCAGAGTAAGCCCTTGGTCTTCCTTTCCAACTCCACAATCACGTCTGTCATCCTCCAAGTTTTCTTGGCTTATCTTTTAAAATCTTCCTAAGCGTTCAGCCCACTCATTTCTAATCCTCTCTGGTCCTGTGTAAATAGTTTTGTGGATGTGCAAACAGGCCAGCAGACTGGGCTCTTCCATTTCCCATAGAACTTAGCATTCACCAACCATAGCTGATGGAGCCCAGAGGCAACAAAGCTTGGCCAGCTTCCAGCAGTGGGTGGGGTGGGGCTGTGTTTGGGTTTGTCTGGGATGCCCATTTCTGGTTGGGCTGCAGTCCCATGCTTTTCCTGGCTCCCTTTTGTGTATGCCAGCTTCCCTCTGGCCTCAGGCCAAGCCTCTGGTTCATTTGGGAGCCCTTTGTTCCCTTCCTCCTATCTTGAAGGGGGATTGCCAAGGCCCTCTTTCCTTCCCTCTTGGAAACCATTTCACTGCCCAGCCTACCAGAGAGGGCTTTGCTCAACCTAAGTTTAGACCTGCTTGTGTCTACACTATGTCTCTGGGTTTTTCTTCCCAGAAAAACAATACATTTTTTAGACAAATTCTTCTCATGTGCTGTTTAGTTGACAATCAAGACATTTACCTTATGGGTCACTTATTAGAACAGGGTTATTCCTAACCCAAGGCCCTTAGTCTCTGAATCCTGGACTGTCAGCAGAGCCATGCAACTAGATTACACCATCAGTCATATCTGAAGGTCATTCATTGGCTTCTTACTTGTGTAAGGTCCCAGACTCTTCCATGTGTCCCTTCTACTCATGTTTGTCATTACTGACAAAGACCAGACTCTTGGCTTCATTTCTTAGAAAGGCAGACCTGGGCAGACTGTGGAGATGGGCTCCAAATCCTGACTTCTGTGGATAAACTGAGGCCAGCAGAGATCAATGACATAAAGTGTCTAGCTAGTGGCAGAGACAGGATTAGGCAAATCTGGTCTCCTGGTCAAGGCTAAATATTTGTGCATCCATTTTCTCCCAGAAGGACTTGGACATTAGGCTAGATGTCTTTTTGCAGCTCCTGGAATCTTCCAGTGGCTTCAGTGTTTCCTTTGATAACTTTTTACCTCCAATGACAGTTTTTAAAGTGATTCAAATGGGCTCAGCCTGCTTCACTTCACTATAACCCAGAACCACCTGGCCAGGAGCAGCAGTGCCCATGGTGACCTGTGTATCCTCACATCAATTATCAATCAAGAAAAGTTCACCACAGGCTTGCCCACTGGCTGGTCTAGGGGGAGGCATTTTCTCAATCAAGACCCCCCTTTTCCAAATGACCCTGGCTGTGTCAAGCTGACAACCAGCATACTAGCTAAACCCTCCACCATCTGAACTACATCCCTAGCCCCCCTTAGCAGGCTCTTGACACCTGTTAGGCAAAGCTGTGAACTTTATCTCTATTCTATAAAATACCTTGTTTTTTTTTTATTTCACTGTGGAAATATGGGAAAGACAGAGAAACAACAAAATAGAAATAAATATCAATTCTATTATGTAGGGAAAGCTATCATGGGTTTGGATTTATGAATGGGATTGGACTGCGTTGACTACTTTACACCTGCTCCGTACCCCCCATGTGAAATGATAGTATTTTGTGCATTTCCCCCCCAGAAAGATTCCATTTAATCTATCTTCCTATCCTAACCAGTGGCAAGTCTAATGGTCCACAGCTGGTGGGGACTGTAGGGAAGGCTGTGGCCCACTAAACCACAGTGGGACAGGCCTCAGCCACCGTGGGAATCCCTGGTCCCCACCTGGGAGCTGCCATAGCGTGACACAGAATGGGATGTTACTGCTGTGTGACCTCACACCACTAGATCTGGGCTTTTAATTCTCACCCAAATAGAAAACCCTTGTGGATGTGACTTTGGAAAATAGCAACATCAAGGATCAAATCAGACATTTGCAGCAGACCTATGAAGCATCCATGGATAAGCTTCGGGAGAAGCAGAGGCAGTTAGAGGCTGCTCAAATGGAAAACCAGCTGCTGAAAATGAAGGTAAAGCAATTGGCCTTGTTCCCACTGACCTCTCTCTGTCCTCTCTAATTCTTCACCTCCCTTTCCCCATTCTCTTTCTCATTAGGCTTCCTTACCCACAGGCACGGTCTGAAGGTGCCAAGGAGGTGTCTTTCACAGTTCCCTGCCTAGAGTTGAGGTGCTGCACAAATATTGGGGGTATGCCTTTCCTAGCCCACAGTGTCCGGTGTGACATTGTGGTTATATTATTGGGAAGGCCAGTGGCATGCTTCCTGGCTCTAGTGTATACTCACAAGCTTTGGAGGGCTCTCCCTTCACCATGTATATGTTCTTTGAAGTCCCAAGAACTGTCCCTGCCCTACACACACACACACGCACGCACGCACGCACGCACGCACGCACGCACGCACGCACGCACGCACGCACGCACGCACGCACGCACCACCATCACCACCACACCAAATATCTGTCCCTCTTGACCACTGGGCTGTGTGTGGGCCCAAGCTGAACTTCTAGAACTTTGAAAGCATCAGTGGACCTTCCCAAAGTTTTCACTCAAGCCTGGGGGTTTAAGTTTTTAAAAGCACCTATGGCATAATAATGGTTTCCTTATGGCATTTTCATACATGTATGTGTGTGGTTTGATCATATCCACCCCTCATTATTCTCTTATCTCCCCTCCTCATTTATCACCTTCCTTGTCCCGGCTACTCTCGCTTTTGCTTGTATGTCTTTTTGTGTATGTGAGTATAATCAGGCTTAACAGGATAGTGTGTGAGAAATTATTTATGGGATCATGACATGAGCAGTTTACCAATGGCTACACCACTGGGGAAAAAAATGTCTCTCAGCTGCCATCAACTGCCTACAGATGCCTAAGAATGGGTGTGGCCTCACGAGCACCCCCTCCCAAGACTGTGGTTTTCAAGTTGTGTTCTGTGCAGCCTTAAGCTATTCTGTGGACCATGCATAACTTAGTGCCCAAGCCAGAGTATGCTAGTGAAGAGTGGAGCTGCTAATAATTCAATTAGGAAAACCATCTGACGGTGTGTCCTTCCTCGTGCTTGCGATGCTACACTGCAGACTCTGTCATTCCCCTCTGGGGTCCTGCTCTCACAGCCACTCTGGGGTCAGGCTTGGGCCCTTCTTTGCATTCCCTTCAAATAAGGCAACTCTTTCTGGTTTTATTATTTTTAATTGTGTGTATGTGGGTTTGTGTACCTGAGTGCAGTGCTTACAGAGGCCAGAAGAGGGCATCAGATTCCCTCAGAGCTGGAGTTACAGGTGATTTGTGAGCCATCTGATGTGGGAAGGGAACTCAGGTCCTCTGGAAGATCAGAAAGTGCTTTTAACTGCCGGCCTACAGTAGCCTATTTTAGAGACCGATGCTGAGTTTGCTCCTGACCACTGGAGCTCAAAAGTTTTTCTCCACTCTTCCTTTTGTTTTGTCCTTCAAATTAAAAATAAAAGGGGTTGCAGGGACTCAAGGTGCAGCTGGAATGCAGCATGAACAGGCCTCAGACAGAGCCCCTTTCCATGGCACCTTCGAAGTACAAATGGAGTGTGGTGTGGACCCACATTCTGAGTGAATGGTAGCTTTTGCTCGTGAATTTCCATCTTACGGCACCTCAGTACCGACACTTACCCAGAGATGAACATTCATGGGCGTCAAGAGGAACTTGTTACATCTTTAGAGTAAACACTATGCAACTTATTAAGGTCAAAGGGCGCCTCCTTTCCCATAGGCAAGGTACTCACATGCTCAGGTGTCTTAGACAAGCAGAAGCCTGACAGGAAAGGCACGGTCACACCTTTGGAAACAGTTTGGAAAGCACACAGTGTGGGAAAGATGAGTGCTGAATGAGGCCTGACTTAGAGATGGGGTTGGTCAGTGCAACGAATGGGATTGATTAGATAAGCTATCTTTAAAATAAGCTGTGCCTGCATGTGTACATGGGTGCAGGTGTGTGGTTGCACATGTGTTTACGTATGGGTGTAGGTCAGAGGTCAACCTCAAGTGTAGTTGCTCAGGAGCTGTCCATCTTATCTTTTGAAACACAGTCTCTCACTGGGACCTGGGGCTTGCTGTTTATAGCTGACTGGTCAGTAAGCCCCAGGGATCGTCTACCTGTCTCTGTCTACTCTGCTGGGAGTTAGACGTGTGAGTTACCATGCATGGCTGTTTTGTTTGTTTCCTTTTCTTTCTTTTCACGTGGATTCTGGAAAAACTTTACCAACTGAGCCCATCTCCCCAGCATCAAGAAGTGACCTTCTGAAAGATTTGCTCTCTGAACCCCCCTGTCCCAATCCTCCTAAATAACTTAGTGTCCAGTGCCATCTTTCACTGGTGTGTGCTCTGCTCTTTCTCTCCCTACCCTCCTGCCTTCTGTCTACTGCAGACTGCTGGGAGTCATGCTCTGACCTCGGTGTGTACACACACTGGAGGGGCAAGGTACAGGCTGCAGTTCTGCAATGAGACTCTTTGCAGGTGGAGTCATCTCAAGAAGCCAATGCTGAGGTGATGCGGGAGATGACGAGGAAGCTGTACAGCCAGTATGAGGAGAAACTGCAGGAGGCCCAGCGCAAGCACAGCGCGGAGAAGGAGGTGCTCCTGGTGCGTGTGTGCCGCTCAAAATAGAATACACGGGATGTGGCTGGCAGGTTTAATAGGAAGGTTTTGTCCTTGAAGGGAGTCATGAGGTTGGATGTGAAGAGAAATCAGGGGAGTCATTCATTCATTCATTCATTCATTCATTCATTCATTCATTCATTATCTGATTATCTGTTTTCCATATGTCTTATATGTGTGCACTGGGTAGACAGGTGTCCTTGCTCTTGTGTACACTTACAGAGGGGAGAGGTTGATGCTGGTAGTGTGCCTCTGCCATTTTCCACCTTCTTTATTTATTTTGAAACAGAGTATTTCACTGAACTGGGAGCTTGGTATTTATTTTGTCTAGGCTGCTGGCCAGCAATTTTCCAGGATACCCAACTCCTGTGGCCCTGTGTTAGCCTCCACAGTGCTGGGGGCACAGGCATGCACTGTCATGCCCAGCTTTTACTTGCATGTTAGGAATCTGAACTCAGGTCCTCATGCTTGCACAGCAAGCTCTTCACCCACTGAGCTATCTCCCGGGCCCTGGGGATTTATGTGATTGTTCATCCACTTGCATTTCCCTCCTTCTGGGTAACCCATTGTCTCTGTATCAAAATACACATTTCTCCAGCCAGTAGGACTATTCACCCACATCCAACAGGTCCTGGGTTTGTCTGTTTACTCTGTTTGTTTCTCTTTCTGAAACCTCCCATGTCCCCATCCTGGGTTATACCATTGTCCCCAGAATCCTCTCCATCCTGAGGTTTGCCATTCCCACAGCTAGAAGTGACTTTTGTCCTCAGAAAGCCATTCTCCCTCTCTCCTCCTGGCTGTGGGATTGGACTGTGCTTCTGTCTAGAGGTGGGCTCACATCCTGGCCTCTCTAGGAGGGCCCACGTTCTTTGAAGGAGCCCTCTGTGTCTGGTTTATCTGTGTCCTTGAAGGCATAATCAATGCACCAGATGTTTGGGTTTTTCCTTAAGAGTAAGTTTGTGCATTGCATTGAGGGAGGAAGAGCTGGAATTTACTCATTCTGCCTCAGTTGTATGTAGGCCCACACAGTGACACTCTGAGCATTTGTGCAATGTTATTTAAGCCTTCACAGGCCATTTTGCTTTGTTTCTTTTTTTACACCTTTGGAACATAAGCTTTTAGGAGAAAGTTACTGGGCCCATCGAAAAGCCACACAAGGGGCCAGCAAGTGCTCAGCAGGTAAAGATGCTGCTCTGCAGGTAAAGAGGCTTACTGCCAAGGTGATAAGCTGAGCTTATCGCAAAGCCCACAGGGTGGAAGGAGAGAACAGGCATTTGGCCTCCACACATGCACCATGGCACCCATATCCCCCACCCACAAAACAAAATAAATATAAACTCTTAAATAAAGTTAAAGAAGACTACCTACATGACGTGCTTTGTTCAGAGGTGAAACCAGACTCATGACAGTTGAGTTCACTCTGTGTGAGAAACGTGGGCCCCAGGGTCATGCTTTCACAGGGAGATCATGACCCAGTGAGGCACTGTCTGGACTTAGGTGAGTCACCTGGGTGACTTGCTGAGGAGAGTGTGTGCCTATTGCAGGAAGAGACCAATAGCTTTCTGAAAGCCATCGAAGAGGCCAATAAGAAGATGGAGGCAGCTGAGCTCAGCCTGGAGGAGAAAGACCAGAGGATCGGGGAACTGGACAGGTTGATTGAGCGAATGGAAAAGGTAACAGATACAGCCTGGGCCTGCTGTCCCCTGCCCAGTGCCCTTGGTCCCACAGTTTCCTTGAAAACCTGCCTAGAGTCAGAAGCCTCAGTACTGACTTCTGTCAGCGCCCCCAGTTTTCAGTGCAACACATCCTGTAACAACACAGAAGGAAGCTGAGCAAAGTTATTATCTTCCTCTCTGGTAACTATTTCTACTGTTGTTTGTTTCTGTAGTCCTGGTAGGCAAACACATGGCCTCGTGCATGTGTTAGGCAAACCCCAACCCAGCCCATCAAAATTATTTTGATATGTTTTAAAAAATCACCTGTAAAATTCTTTCTCAGATTAATATTGCAGCAACTAGCTTTGTGGCTTCTCTAGGCGTGCTTGTCATTTAACCTGATGAAGCAATGTTATTTGGAGGCTCCATCAGCACTCCACCCCTCTTGTTTCTGGGGCATGTGTCTGGGACAGGTTGACTTTTCCATGACACGCCGGGGACCTGAATGAAATGGGGAGGCAAACTCATCTTTGTGTAGTAAACAAGTTGACAATGGGGTGGGATCTTACAGAGTTGACAAGCCAGACTTGGGTGGGGGTGCAGACATGAGGCAGGAAGTGGAAGAGAAAAGACAGGAAGGAAGGAGAGGGAGAGAAAGCATGGTGACATTGAGCAGCCAGCAGCTGACTTCTGGAGTTGAAGGCCAAAGCCGGCTCTAGTTTCTGGAAAACAGCTCTCTAGTTACACTGAAGTTGCAGATAGCACTGGACCCACTATGGACACGATGTTAGCGCCAAGTGCCAGATTCTGCAAGCTGCCTATACCCTGGCATCAGAGTCAGCCATGTAATATCTTCCTAGCCCTCTGATTTTGACTCTACTGCTTCCTCTCGACCCCTGAGACTCTTTGGATCATTAACCATGCTTGCAAAGTTCCCTTTTCTGTGTGAGATAATGTGTTTATAAGGGATCAGATCTAAATTTCTTTGTGTGTGTGGAAACCATTGTTCTGGCCATAATGACAGTAATATATCCTTTAAAAGTGACTACACCTAAACAAGGCGTTGGTGGCACATGCCTTTTAATCCCAGCACTCGGGAGGCAGAGGCAGGCAGATCTCTGTGAGTTTGAGGCCAGCCTGGTCTACAGAGCGAGTGCCAGTACAGGGTCCAAAGCTACACACAGAAACCCTGTCTCGAAAAACAAAACAAAACAAAAAAGTGACTACCCCTGTGTAACATGACTGGGCTAGTCCATAGGACATGGCCAGAATTTCAGAGCCTCTTTGCTGGATGATTTTGAATTCAGGAATTCAACAATGCCACAGGCCACTGATTTGTGACATGGATGATAATTGGTTAGAAATATAAATTTCCAAGCTAGGCAGTGGTGGCATACACCTTTAATCCCAGCACTTAGGAGGCAGAGGCAGGTGGATCTCTGAGTTTGAGGTCAGCCTGTTCTACAGAGTAAGTTCCAAGACAGCCAGAATTACACAGAGACCCTGTCTCAAAAGAAAGAAAGGAAGGAAGAAAGAAAGAAAAGGGAGGAATGAAATATAAATATTAATAAGACATGAACTCATGTGATTGATTAGAGTGTTTTGTTTAATCCGTAAGTATTTGCATGCATTGGGCCCCTTTGAGTTTTGAGCTCTGGGCTAGAGGATGTGTGAAACTCAGGGAATGATGGACACACTTGGACAAACCAGAGCTGGGTGTGTCTGCTGTTCATCTTCTGTCTGGCTCTATCTGGATCCATTTTATCGTGTCTGTTTTAGGAACGCCATCAACTCCAACTCCAGCTCCTTGAGCATGAAACAGAAATGTCAGGGGAGATTGCAGATTCTGACAAGGACAGGTGAGGCGAGCTGGCCTTGGACTTGTAGCAACTCAGAGCAGGACACACACATTGGTTTTGTGTGTGTGTGTGTGTGTGTGTGTGTGTGTGTGTTGTATATACATGTGTGTGTTCATGCACACAGAGACCAGTAGATGCTGTCTGGTGTCTTGCTCATATTATCACTTTCTACCTTATTCCCATTGTCTAGGGTCTCTTGATGAACCTGGAGCTAGGCTAGAAGCCAGCAAGCTCCGGTCATCCTTCTGACTCCCCTCCAACGCCCTACTCCACAGCTATGCTCAACTTTTTATATGGGTATTGGGGATTTGAACTCAGGTCTTCATGCTTACCCAATAAGTCCTCTTACCCACTGAGCCATCTCCCCAGCCTCATGTGCCCTGTTCTGACTAGCTCGTTTGACTCTTGTGTTTTCATTCCCGTGGTCCTCACTCAGTACTGGCCTATGTGAAGTATGACACTGGCTGAGAGCGCCCAGTGGGGAATCCACCTCCTTCAGGAGCTTACAGTCACTTCTCACTGCCCGAGGCTGGCTGTTAGTTCAGCAGGCACATCTAAGATGGCCACAAACACTGACACTCAGCTTGTGTGTGCTTTTGACTCCTAGCTCTCCAGGATGCATCTTGTTAATGAGATAGCCCATCAGCTGTGACTGATACTGTTGGTCCTGGAAATTAATTTTGAAGTGTTGCTTGTTTCCAAGCCTTGCATTGCCCTTTGACCATGAACTTGTGAAACCCCAGATGGAAAATACAGGAGCCATCTATGGTCTTTTCTAGAACTCGAAAGACAGAGAGGAAGGAAAGCAAGACTGAGATGATTAGAGCACTCAGGGAAGGTTACCTGACTTCCCACCTCCCAGGCTCTGTTGGATGGAAACTCTTTTTCCAAGTGAGGACTGCTGATCCGATGCCTATCCCTTTGGTTCACATTGTGAGAGCACTTTGACCAACTGCCAGCTGCAAAGTATATGCTGGGGAAAAGTCTGCTTTCCTAAATTAAAAAAAAAAAACTATATTTATTTATTATGCAGGTGTGTATATACTTTATGGATGGTCTATGGCATGCATGTGGGGGTCAGAAGACAACTCTCAGGAATTATTTCTTTCCATCGTATGGGTCATTGGGGTGGGGGAATCAAACTCAGATCACCAGGCTTAGCCGCAAGCACCTTCAGCTGCTGAGCCATCTCATTTGCCAGTCTCCTGTAACTTGAGAGTTTCCTTACTAGTTTTCCACGTGTGCCTTGTTTGTTCAGTAAGCGATGGACACAACAGTGCTGGCTGCAGGCTTTCCTGGACTCCACTCTTGATTTCAGGGGCTTCTCTGAGTTCTTAGACTCCCATCTCTGTCCTCTAATTAAGGCCACTGACTGCATGCCCCAGTTCATGTTAACCCCAAGTGGAAATGCTCTCATGCCTGTCAGTGGTGAAAAACAAAAACAAAACAAAAAAACCTCATTCTCCCCCAGGAAGTACAGACGTGCCACTATACAGAGTGAAACTCAAGAAGGGGCCCGAAGGACATCTGTGTTCTTTCTGGGGAGATATTGATTCTAAGTTGATCTCTAGAGTCCAGGGGGAGGAGGGCGTGGCTTGAGTTTGAGTTTTTGTTCTTGCAATCTTCTACAATACTGTGACAGTCTCTGCTGCTGTGTCTGTTCTGAGTCAGGACTCAGAGCTCTCTTTTCTCCCTTAGGTACCAGCAACTGGAGGAGGCATCAGCCAGCCTTCGAGAGCGGATCAGACACCTGGATGACATGGTACATTGCCAGCAGAAGAAAGTCAAGCAGATGGTTGAGGAGGTAAGTTCTCGAAGAAGCCTGGGACCCAGGGCAGCTTCCTTTGGTGACTTTGACCAGGCCATTGTCACATTTTCACAGCCCAAAGGGACAGCTCCTCTTGTATGCTGTGTGGACCAATGATCTTCCTTTCAAGGGGGGTTTTCCTCTAGACCAAAGTGTTGGCTAAGTGCAGTTCACAGTTCATACACTCTCCAAGGACAGTGGCACCACATGTAAGTCCTATAGTTTAGGGAACAAAAGGTGCCAGAAGGTGACCTCAGCTCGGGTTTCCATGCACCTGAACCCGTCCTCATCTCCTGCACCAGCTGCTGTGCCCTTTCTCTGTTCCTGGGTGTCCTTCTCTGTTCTGCCCCTTTCGTTCCTTTCCCATGATGCTCTGCTCCTTGTGTCCTCTCTCCTTCCTAACTCTTGTTTCTTTTCTTTTCTCTCACACCTTCCTCTCCTGTGTAATATGGACAGTTATATATTTAATTTGCTGGGGAAGTTTTTCATTTTATTTTTTTTCCTACATGAGAAGAAAAGCAGGTAGGTTGAACATTTAGTTCTCTAAGAAGAAAACGAAATAGTTTTGCCTTGGCTTAGTGTGGTCTGCCTCCCTTTCTGTGATACTCAGTAGAAGACAATCCATGTGTGGGTAAAGCTGGCCACATGTCATTGTAGATGCTGCTTACTTAATTTTAAAAATTGGTGGAAAAAATCGAATAGAAAAATCTGATAGAAAAGTAACAGCAGTAACTGTTAAAAGACTATATAAGTAAGGGTTATAGGAATATCTAGGGTCTAATTGTTTAGCTTGAAGAATAAGGTCAAATGAATTAAAGTTTGATTGGCAGAAGAAAACAGGAAAAGCTATTTTACTTATAATAATCACTGCTTTAAAATATGTGTCCATTTTATGTATGCCTGTGCATGTGTGTGCTTATGTACATGCATGTTTTATGTGTCTGTGCATGTGTGTTCACCTTATTTCTGGAGACAGGGTCTCTTACTGACCTGAAGCTTGCCAATAAGGCTGGCTAGTAAGCTCCAGGTGTCCGTTTGTCTCCACTTCCCAGAGGCTGGGATTACAAGTGTGTAACATCACACCAAGCCTGTACTTAGAACACCTAGCCTGTACTAGAACACCTAGCCTGTACTAGAACACCTAGCCTGTACTACCACACCTATCCTTTTCTGGGGTGGAATTCTGATCCTCATATTTGCAAGAAAAGCACATTACCAAATGGGGGTCTCCCCAGCTCTATGACTATTTTTAATGAATCATTAATGTTTAAAGTGTAGCTACTGTCAATAAATTATATAATGGTAGATAAAATTAAAAGCATATCTACTTTAGCAGTCTAGGAAATTCTGGGTGTTCCTTCGGTAAGGGTAAGGTCAGGGAATTATGAGGGTGGGAGTGATAGTTTGTTTTACTAGGTCTAGAATAAATATCCACAGTAGATAAAATCTTGTCTCCATGTTGAGTCTTGTATGGCTCGCATACAAGTGTTCAGGGAAGTGGGGCAGCAGAACCTGGCGAGGAGCCAGGCTTCACCTTCCCAAACTCAGGCACTCATGTGGGAACACCATCAGCAACAGTGATGGACGAGATCCCATCCCACCCAGCATGGGCAGAAATGTGTTTGCCACGGGAAGGTGTCCAAGGTGGATTAACCTTGGCTGTCAGAGCGCACCTTCCCCACCTCTGAGTTTCCCACGTTTAAAGTTTCAGGCATGGGTGATGTTTTAATTAGTGTGAGTCTAACTGGGGCTACCATTTCTCTTCCCTCACAGCAGGGGGTGTATTGCTCACATCTAGCCTAGAGAGGCTCTGAGTAAGCCTTGGATTGATTGGCTTTTGAGTCAGTTAAAATCCTTGTCTATAAGGAGTTGTGACTGACACCAAAGTCAGACAAGTGTTTTAAAAAGGCACTTTCAGGAAAGTTCAGAACTCTTTTTTATATCATATTTCCAGAGTATGTTCTTAACTAAAGAGAGTAAAGGAAACCACACACACTTACTTGGCTCTAAGTATCTGAGGCATTTTGTTCTAGAACCTTCTAAGGACCCCAACATTTTTGAATGCTCAACCCTCATACATAAAATACCCCTGTATATGTATACTACAAGTGTAATCCTATGTATTTGAAAAAAATTTACTTTTACTGTGGTGTGTGTGTGTGTGTGTGTGTGTGTGTGTGTGTGTGTGTTCGTACCCTATGAGTTCACTGCTTTTTTCATCCAGCAGAGGGGGTCAGAGCCCCTGGAGCTGGAATTACTTGTGGTTGTCAGCAGCAGCAGTACTCTAAACTGCTGAACTGCCTCTCTAGTCTCCCTTCTGTCTATTTTAAATTGTTCTAGATTACTTACAATACAGAGTACATTGTAAATTGTTGCTTTCCCCCTATTGTTTGGAGGATAATGCTGAGGAGAAAGATCAGCACAGATGGAATTTTGTTTTCTCAACTATTTTTTTAATTTAATCTGAAAGTGGCTGAATCCACGGTGTGGATCCCATGGATACAGAGGACTGAGCCTGCACGTGTGAAGTGTGTGTTCAAACGGGGAAGCGTGCAAACACTGGTACCCAGGCCTTTTATTTCACATTTCCCTCACATTGAGTGGAGGGAAAGGGCCTCCATCTGGACAGCATTGTGAGCTGCACTAGTGCCACCTGCCAGCTGCCTAGGTTTTAACAGCCAAAGGAGTTTGTTTTTTTTTTTTTTTTTAAGTCTGTATTCTGAATTTAAGATCTCTAAATCAGGAAGTAAAAATAATCAAGTTTGTCCAGCACACTGTGGCCACGCCTACAGAAAAAGTTTTTTTTAAACAATCTTAATTATTGTGAGCACTTATGTTATTTAAAGTTACAAATGTGGAAGAGTGAGGTGGACAAGTGAGGGTGTTCAGAGGAGCCACCAGGCTGGAAAGGAGGCAGGAGCTGGGGGGACTGAGGAGGACATGGCCAAGGTGCTGCACTGACTGGGGACTGAGAAAAGGGTTTTGGGGGGGGGGGCGGAGATGTTATTCTGGTGCACTCCCAGGCCAGAGCCACTGGGTGGCGCTCTCAATGAGGGAAGTGTTAGCGTTGAATACAGACAGCATTTCAGATACTGGCTGCACTGAGTAAAGAGTTAGCCCCAGATCACAGGTGCAGGCCTTACAAAATGAGAAGGCGAGCCTGGAGCTTGCTAGTGTTGCTCCTGGATCCCACGGAATCTGCAGGGATAGTTGGTGGAAATCTGCTGAGTTTTGCAATGTTCTTTATCTTATTATTTATTTGTGTGTGTGTGTGTGTGTGTGTGTGTGTGTGTGTGTGTGTGCGCGCGCGCGCGCGCTGTGTCTGTTACTGTGATCTTAGCTTTACTGTTATATAAAGAGAGTCCACACAAAAAACATAGCTCTCACCTCAAAGGGAGTAAGAGATAGCTTATTCTGGAGCCAGATATGAATGACCACATCTGGACACATGCGTTCAGGGTACCCCAAATGCCACGTTCCAATGTGGTTAACAGTTTTGTGATCTTTATGGTTACAGAACTAAAGGCAGTCATAAATCAAGGCACTTCTCAAGTACCTTGTTAGGAGCATGGGTCAGGCGGGGACTTGCTGCTATAGGTCTCAGGTACAGTCTGATGACACCCTTAGCTGTGTGGTTGTTGAAAGCTAATGGTCTGTTAGTTAATACATCGCACATGGTAGTCATGAGGATATTAGGTCAGACACAGCTGGGCAATTAATAATAGCCTAAGATAATTTGGTTCTGGATCTGCAACATTCCTACTCTCCACAATCAGCAAGCTCTCACCAGTCATCCAGCCTTGTAGGACCTCTAGCACAGGTGTGGCCTTTTCTGAGGACTTCAGGTCTCTGTAACAAAATAACAAAGTCACAACTCAGTCACCCAGGTCACTTGGGCCTCATTTTGAAGGCTATGTACTGAATTAGTCACCGTGAAATGCTGAATTCACACTTCAGTGGAGAAGTGTATTTTTAATCTGTCAACACCTGGTCCCCAGAGGGAGAGGTACATTTAAGCTCATCTAGGGGCAACCTGTAGGTGCAGCCTCTGCCTGGGATGTTTGTCCTCTTTCCCTTGAAGTCCCAAAGCTTGTCTAAGTCACAGCTTCACCTTTACCAAGGCTGGGACTCCTTGGTGATGTCTCCAGCCTTTTTTTTTTTTTTTTTTTTTTTGGTCCTATTTTGGTGATAACAGCTTTGAAGAAACTGTCAGTGTGGGCATATTTATCAGCCCCAAACATCCAGCTGTCATTACCGGGTCTCTTAAAAACCTGTTGTGTAAGCAATGTATTTCCCCTACCTCAGTGGAATATCTTTTTGTTTGTTTGAGATGGAGTTTCTCTGTGTAACTCTGGCTGTCCTGGAACTTGAGATTGGCCTGCCTCTGCTTCCTGAGTGCTGGCATTAAAGGCGTATGCTACCACTGGCTGACATGAATCTCGTTTTAAAGACCAATGATGAAAATAACAGTGATTGTCCCAGCTTTTGCTGTCAAGACTTAGCTTTCACTGAGCAGAGCTGTAAAGTCTTGCACCGTGTGATAAGGCCGAGAGTGTGCTCTTTAGCTGGTTTCCAGGGTGACTATTAAGCAACTTTTCATTTTATTGCTCACCCTTTTTTATGATGACTTTTTTTGGTCTGTGTATATATGTGTGCTTGGGTGTGTACAAGCACATGAGTGCATGTGGAGGCCAAAGGTTGATGACAGGTGTCTTTCTGGCTCATCCCCTTCACTGTTTTTACTAAGGCAGGGTCTGCCACTAACCCTGGGGTTCGCTGATTCAGCTAGTTTAGGTAGGCAGCTTGCCCCCGGAAGCCCCTGTCTCTACTTCCCAGTCATTAGGATTACAAGCAGCCACCACCTTACTTTTTATGGGGAGGCTGGGGATCTGAACTCAGGTCCTTACACTTGTGCAGCAAACATTTTATCCACGGAGCCATCTCCCTACCCCCCCCCCCCCACACACAGCTATTTTGTTAAAGTGAGAAGATAGAAATGATTTTCCCTTTTCTGCTTCTCCACCTGGCTGGGTACTAGGATCACCTGGAGGAGGGGAGGGGGGTGTCTTATAAAACCTCCAAAGCTGGCAGCTGCTGGTAGGAGCAGGTGTCGTGTGTGTGTGTGTGTGTGTGTGTGTGTGTGTGTGTGTGTGTGTGTGTGTGTGTATAGTACACAGCAGACTGGCTTTTCTTGTGGAGTTTCATGTCGTTAGACTGTCTGGCCAGCCTACTTTAGATGCTCCTGTACCCAAGTAGAAAGCTGGCTGTGAACCTAGAGAAGGACAGGACGCTGTCATAGAAGAAGAGCCTGGGGAATAGCAACCAGGGACAAGATCAAGGAATTTAGCCATCTCTTCCTGCTAGCCCTGGGCTCTGGGCCCCAGAAGAGCTCTGTGGCATCGTGGTAACATGCAGTAGCGGCTGGGGGGGGGGGCCCCTGGGTGACCGGAATCCATCCGGATGCACAGGTGTGTCCAACATTTTGACATGGCAGCACAGCATTGTCATCTACAAAGTGTATGTGCAAGAACCACAAAGGAAACCTCATCCCGTGTTAAGCAAATTTATGGTTTTGTCTTGAGCCACATTCGTAGCTATTGTACACGCTTCATGAGGCCTGTGGGTTGTGGGTGGACCTACCTGGAAGGCTTTGCCAGTGGACAACCAAATGCAGTAGCTTTATTAGCAGGGCCTGCCTGCCACATGAAAGCCAAAGTGGGACATGTCTGCAATGCCCATGAAGTGCCTTTGAAAGTCCCCCCTCATCACCTCAGACCTTTTGTAGCCTGACAGTGCCATGGCCTTAGGGAGGCAAGTCCCCCCACTCCCAGGCAGGTAGAGAATAACTTGTCTGAGATTGAAGCATTGAGTTCCTGGCTTGTTGATCAGTTGGCAGGACATTTTCCCTTCTGTCCATGTAAGGTTTCTGAACTGATCGCCTGCAGGCCCCTAGTCCTTATGCAACTCCTGCAGTCAGAGATCTTTATGGACATAGTGTGATTAGTGACCCATAAACTTGAACTTTAGAATCGGGAAGACCTGTGTGTATCCGTTGTGGAACTTTGAAAATATATTCATTTCCCTCTCTGTAAAATAGAATCAGTAGAAAATGTCTGCCAGAGAGGGTTTTGTGGGCTCAAATTAAATGAGATTATATATATATACTTATTCATTGGAACAACACAGAAAATATCTAAAGAATCCTAGCTGCTACTAATATTACTGCTCTCCATAAATGGTTTCTTGTGATGCAGACCCACAGTAGAGGTAAGTGGTCAGAGTATCTGGTTTATGGCTTTTCCTGTTCTCCGGGCCGCCCTTCTTCTCTATGGGAGTCTTGGGAACCAAACTGAATCTTTGGGCATAACTTTCTTCCTTTCAATGCTGTGTGCCACTCTCTAGTTTAGCCATCAAATTACTTCTTTGTTTACTTCAGCTATTTGCTGGCATACAGTTCATTTCAGAACTGTTGTGTGATGTGCTGAGATGTGCCACACAAATGGGTGCTTTGGAGAACTGCCCTGTGTCCCCAGTCCTCCCATAGCTGGTAATTAGGTTCATAGGGGTCAGGGAAGGAGCCATGGCCCTGAACCCCCAGCCCTAACCACTCAATTGAACTGTCCCCAGATCATGTCGCACGAGCTCTTCTCCACATTTAGTCTCCGGCTTTTTGGAAGATGATAAGATGTAGCCTGCTCTGGGTAGAAGCAGAGGTGAACTCGTCTTACTGGGTGTGATTAGAAGAACACTTGTACTCTCTTCGGGGAAGAGGTGGTGTTTTATCTGTGCCGAGCCCGGAGCAAGCAGGAAAGACATGCTATCCAAAGGAAACCTTGGCCCCGTGGGGCCCTCATTTGTGAAAATACTCTCAGACAGTAGCCTCGACACATACAACCTCAAACAACAGATCAAAGAGACCTCAGAGATACACAGGCTGTTTCTTTTTAGAAACTTGGGTTCCTAGACATCAAAGCAAGAACTGCACTGAAATTCTTGCGCTGAAAAAGACTGTTAAAAATAATTCAGAAAGTGCCAGGGGGAGCAGCCGCAGAAGATGCCCACCAAGGAGAAGGGAAGAGAGGCGAAGTGTGTCAGCGCTCTGGGAAAGAGGCGCACCTCACTGGATCACACTCCCAAAAATGCAGATTGGGCCAAATGTCCTGGTAGTTTGGTTATATTTGTTATATGGTGGCCCTCATATTTGCAGGTGACCCTTTGGATGTCCTTTCTGAATTACTGTCTACAGTCATTGTCAGTTAATGTCACTCTTGTTTAAGGAAAGTTCGGTTTGCTTCTATCCTTCTGGGCATCTTGTCTGAATAGACATGGCTCAACCAGCTTCAGGGCAAGCGGGAGTATGCCTAATGAAAAGAGAAATATGTCTAGCTAAGATGTATGGGCATGAGATGAACGAAGCGTGCTTTGTTCATGGTCTATCTTCATAGAGGCCATTTGTTGATAACCAGTGTGCTATTATTTCATCAGTGTGCTATTATTTCATCTTTTTTTTTCTTAAAAAAAAAAAGGAAACTGTGTTGGCTGGGGGCTGCTGCTATCTTGTCAGAGTTTGCCCTTGTTCTTTCATATGGTGCTCTTGTCAATCCCAGCTTAGGGTGGCATGAAAGGGAAGGAAGCAGACAAGACAATCCACACCTGAAAAGAGCTCTCTGTGATGTGAACCTGGGTGTGGGATCCCATTTAAAGCTGGATCCCATATACTCCATAGGGGTTTGTGGAAAGCTGGAGTCAGAGTCAAAAGCCACTCATCCCCTCATGACCCTAGGTGGTCACTTACCTGCGCTATTCCTAGGGACTCAGTCTCTGGCATTTCTTCTGGAACAAGTCTCAGGAGGTGAAATCACAGGATCTAAGGGAGTGGCCTTGAACTTCAGAGAAGTTGCATTGGGGTGAATCTCTCTTCCTGTGTGGTGTGGTATGCTTTTGCCTGTTTCTCCTCTCTTGGGCTAAAGTCAGTCCATGGAGCCCAGAGATGTCTTGTTCTGTGGAGAAGATGGTGAGGTACCCAGAGTGTGAACACCACTCTCCTCATGTATCCTGAATGCTGCCCCCTCCTCCTATCCTGACCCTGGTTGTAGGCTAATTGGTGATCTTTGATCTGAGTTCTTTGCTTCAACTTACAATCCTATGTCTTAGTTCTGTCTTCCTACCTAGATTGGCATGGTCTCACGTTGTCTTAAATTGCTACCAAACCTGACTCGTGTTCAAATCCTTAGTCATCCTACTTCCCCCGGCTCTTATTTGACCCTTTGCCTGTACTCCTAAGGCTTTATCTTGTCTCTTAGCCACTCTCCACCCCACCCAAAGGAGGTTCTGCTCAACTTGGGGCAGGATTTATTTGTAGCCAATGAAAATGTTGTCTTTTTAATTTCTAGCGGTTAACATAGTGTAGTCACTTCTTTATTTAAATTAAATCTTAATACTTCATCTAAAATATGAAATTTTTAGAGGTATCACAAAGAATAAAGTTGGGTCAGCCTTTCTTCCCTGTGTATTCTAGAAAAATAGCAATCACAAGAGCATAGGCAGGTCATGGTGTGTCTAGCGCCTCATCTTTGTCAGCCTGGAGAACACTCACTGTGGACTGGGAGGTGACATGGTGTCCTCAGCTGGCTGGCCAGGCTTCTCCTTTGTGAACTAATGCTCATGTCCTTCATTGAGTTTTTAAATCAACTCCCTTATCTTCCCGCCTGATAATTTATGTTGCTGGCATGGGTCATTTACTGAAAAATACTTGTGATGTTCTCATCTGCCAGTTGGTGGTATCTGTTTGTGGAATCTCTTACACAAATATTGAGTTTTTCTGAGGTTATAGTTATCAATTTTTTTTACTATGTTGTATGTCTTGTTTGTCATTGTAAAAGTATTAAAGTTTTGTTTGTCATTTTTATCTTTTATTGAAACCCATGTGTCTGTCACCTCCCCCTTTCCTTCCTCTATTTTTGTCTATGGCACTTACACTGTATGTGGTGTGTTTTGCCTTCGTTCGTCTGTTGTTCTGCTTGTTTTGTTTTTGTCTCTCTCCCTCTTATAGAATGGAAGCTCTGTGAGGGCAGGGCCTTTGGCCTGTTGCATTCATGACTGTATTCCTAATATCTAGAATGGTCACTGGTGTCCAGTAGGTGCTCAATAAATGTTATTTTTGGACAAATAAAGACTAAGCCATCTGAAATTTATTTTTGTCTCTGGTGTGGCCAGGGCTCACTCTGTCTCATTCTGCCTCATGAGAAGCTTGCTTTTCAATATCATTATCCACTGATTTTATTTTTCATGTCACCTTTGTCTAGCTGGAGATCTTTCCCTCTGTGCTATTGTCTTTGAACATTCTGGTCTTGCCCCTCTGCCAGAGTCTGTAGGAAAGCCCAGTCTTGAGACTTGGGCATTAGGCGTGGGGAAGGAGGAGAGCCAGGTGCATCCTACTGTTAGCTCTTTCTGCAGAGATCATCAGCGAGCATAAGAAGTACTTTATATAAAGCAGGTGCAAACATTGATGTGTGCTCCTGCTCTCGAGGGATTCTCTGAAAGACCTCTAAACTCATCAGAGGGTGAGGGAGAGTGTGCTAAGTAACATACCTGGTTCTAAGCCATGGTCCTTTGAAAATATCCCCAAAGTTTAGCTGTTGTGAATATGATATTGTGAAAGGGCCACTTCCGGGAACACAGAAGCTGGACAGCTTATCCTATACTCTGAGGACATGAAATCTGGCCTTGTCCCTACCTCTGCTTCTGACTAGGCTTTGTAGTCACAAATTCACAAATTCCTTATCCTTTCCAAGATTCTGGTTGCTTTTCAATAAAATGAGGCCAGTTATGACAGAACCTGTCCCAGAGGTGGTGGTATGGATTGACTGATAGCATGCATGCCAAATGCTTGATTACCACAGTGCCTCCAAATGTGAACTAATTCTCCTGTGGGTGGACAGTCTGCAGGGAGAGACAGTGTCCGATAGCATCTTGGGATGGGTTGGATTTTTCTAGGCAGGAATTGAATGGGTGGAAGAAGTCAAGCCAGATAAGATATAAAGTAAATAAAACCAAGAATATGAAGACCAGAAAGTATGGGGTGAGTCCAGGCATGGGTCTTGTTTGACTGGATTAGACGAGGGAGTGGTAAATGAAGAAGCAGGAAAATGTGGGTTGAGACCCATTGTGGTGGGTGTTGGGCACTAAGCCAAGAACAAGGTTATTATCAATCAAGATTTCTCAGTGGCTTCTCCTTTTTGATTGGGACTGAGCCTCAGAGTGGTGTCTAGGATGCTGGGCTAAAAGCAGGGACAAAGGAAGAAAGAGGGCTGGGAGCACAGCTTGCTGGTGTGGGCAGGGTTCATATTCACAACACCTGATCTTTAGGACCATTTTTAGCATCAGTTTTGTGCCAGCTGTGAAGAGATGAGCATTGCCTTGTTCTGAGTCAGCCTTCTTCCCAGATACTCCCAGATACTCTCAGGTTTTCCCTCTGAAATTGCATCCATCCAGGAAAGTTCAGGGACAGACAAGCAAGTTATTACTTTCTCAATTCTACTTGCCTCCCTGGGGGGCTTGAAGGGGAGGTTTAAAGGATCAGGGCCCCTTCTGGGTGTGGTGGTACATATTGTAGCCTGCAATCCCAGAAAGTAGTAGATGGAGGCAGGAGGATCTGAAGTTCACGGTCATCGTCAGCTAGCCTGGGCTAAGGAGACTCTGTCTCAGAAAATAAGATGGGTGGCGACTACTACTGGAGAGGTGGCTCAGTTAGCAAAGTGCTTGCCATGAAAGAATGGGGGTCCAAGTTCAGATCCCCAGCACTGACAAAAAGCTGGGTGTGGCAGCACCAGGCAGACCTAGGAAGGTTCCTTGAACTTCCAGGCCAGTCAGTCTAGCTTAATTGGTGAGATCCAGGTTCAGTGAAGAAGACATCTGGTGCACATGCACCGACATACATATACCATGGATAGTAGGCATATACAAACATGAGCACAAGCCGCGCTTGCGTGTACACACACACACACACACACACACACACACACACACACACACACCCAGGCTCTCTGAGAGCACAAACA